AAAGTGTAAAAGTAATAATAATAATAATAATAAAAAAAAAAATAATAATAATAATATTAATAATAATAATAATAATAATAATAATAATAATAATAATAATAATAATAATAATAATAATAATAATAATAATCATAATATTAATAATAATATTAATAATATTAATAATATTAATAATAATAATAATAATAATAATAATAATAATAATAATAATAATAATAATAATAATAATAAAGAACCATAAAAAAATAAAAAAATAAAAAATATCAAAAGTGAGAAACAATATATGTATATTGTGTTGTCAATAGCACGAGAAACAATTGAGACCCTGCAACTGTGTGTAAATGAGGCAGAAAGTCAGATCAGCAACCTGGGACTTGGTCACAATTTTCGTGATGCTATATGGCAGCAGGGTCTACCATTAGACAACACATTAAGCTTCCAACATCTTCCCAAGCGGTAGTACTGTACCTCCCTGTTTGGTAGCTGCCTACTACCGAGTAATGCTGATAAGTCTCATACCCTAAGAGCATCAACTCTAAGAGCTAAAAACTGTGGATGTGGGACGCGGGTGCCCCACAATGATGTCAAAGAGTAAAACAAAATAATCTCAGGTCAAATTCTACAAAACTATAGATCACAGAAACTTACATCTACTGTGATACTCTGCAATAGTCACCAGATGTGTGTTTGAGAAGCTTTCTGTCTCTCCGGAAAACAATAAGGAAAGTCTGGTCGTCTGTACGTTCAGACAGGCGGATGGGACAATATGGAGAGAGATTGAAGGGATTTGTGGTGACAGGATGTATAGGAAGTGGTAGAAGCTGTTTGTGTCTTGGGAAATTTGTTTACCGTAAAAGTTTTGGAAAAGTAGCTACTGTAGGTTTAGCAGTTTTCTTTTATGTTGTCATCACGCCGCCTCACAGCCGTAGGGATCCCGAGCCCATGCTGTCTCGTTTTTAGCACTAACTGATTTGTTTCTCGTTTAATATACACGAAGTAAGGCCAGTTGAATCCCACCTGTTGAATCGGGTGGTAAAGTCGCTACTGTTTTATACACGAATCTCTCTTAAGTGATTAATGGAGCGAGTCGGTGGTGTCAGCGGGGAGATCCCACTCGATGCTTGTGGTTCTAAGTGGATGTTTGTCTTGGAGAGTCTGGGCTGTGTCATCATCTCTAGGAGCCTGAGTATCGTCGCTGGTGATTAACCTGATGGCAGCGACGGTGTTCCCTTCTATTTTCTTGTTGACTTGGAACGTTAATCCTGCAGGGTGATGCTGGGTGGTGGTGGTGGAGGTGGTGGTGGGTGGTACAGGTGAGGGTGGGTAGTGGAGCCGATGGTGGGTTGGGTTGGGTTGGGTTGGGTTGGGTTGGGTTGGGTTGGGTTGGGTTGGGATGGATTGGGTTGGATTTAGGAGGAATGTGAGGGAGGGGTGACAGAGTGAGAGGAGGAGGGAGGGGTAAGAGATGGATTAGGTTGTGTCAGTTGACGGTGATATCAGTGATTAGAAAAAATTCCATAACATTTAAGGGATTGTATAATGTCCACGAACACTTTAGGAATTGCACGAAATCCCTAGTTACACACTCTTAATGTGTATCAGAGTATTCTGCTGAGAGTAAGGGCGTAGGGGCAACTCAGTACAGCACTGTAATACCAAGGTGACCTGGGGCCTTCATCCTCAGCTTGTTAGAGTAAGTTTAATTTTATTGCAGTAAATGAAATATAATACACTAGGAAGATATATTTTGATTCCAGCAGCATTTGTAGTGCTGACTAAACTATTTTATCTTAAAATTCAACAAAATGAACATAAAAATAGCGGTGTTTCTGAGGAACACAAACACGGGCGCCCAGAAAAATAAACACTACTACTTATTTCGCAGAATCACATTGAGAGAAAACTAATTAAACTTTTCCCAAATGTACAAATGAGATGTCGAAATAGTTCAACTTTGATATTCATTTGGTATAAAAGCACTTCAAAGCAAGAGACGGGAGGTTAATTCTGCTCGCTTAACACCGCCTTTTTGGTGTTGGTGGACCAGCTGCCGTACTGAGATTTTCCACAAACAATGTCGTCACATGGAAACCCTTCGAGCTATAAGACTGTAGAAAATTATTTAATATTAACTTTCATTTTTTTATCACATATATTCTCTTGTCATTTATTTAGCTTTTAAACAACTTGAATTAAGTGTAAATGAATCGCGCCGTCCTCGCCTGGCTGTGCATACGTGTACCGGAACTATGAATGGGTACTTTCAAGCGGAATGAGTGGGGTCCTCATACCCAAGCTTACAAGTTTAAATCAAGCAAAGTTAGTGAGGTGAAGTCCCTGGGAGTTGTGCTGTCCTCCAACCTAAACCCAAAAATACATTTCTAGAAACAAGAGTGGAAATACAACTGTAATGTCTAAGTACAGTGAGTGGATGAAAATATTCACTCGCGTATTGACACTGTAGCTTTATTTTCGTGCGTGTGTGTGTGTGTGTGTGTGTGTGTGTGTGTGTTACAGAATAATTACGGTAATGTATGTGGTTCATAAAGTCATCCTCAAGGTGATATGATTGCATCGATTCATATTAGCATAGATCTCAGTGTGATGTGTGTGTGATAAAGAACCATTAGTGTGAGTCAAAGTGTGATCTGTATATATATTTCTTTGGGTTCATATATCTCTTCTTTGCACTCTATAACAAGATGGATATCATGACTCCCAAAAGCTATAACCAACAGTGTGTTGGGCCTTCCAGCAATAGCCATAAATTGTAGATTCTTCCCTTTTCGACCAATGCACTGCTCCCCCTCGCTGCTTCGGTTTAGTCATAGATTACAAGGGGGACCACAACATACCTCCTCGCCCCACCTTCAGCTGCTACACCACCACTACCAACACTCAAGCTTTCCCAGTATCAGTCTTACATTTATGAGAGGACTGAGAGGAATAGGATGTATAGACACTGTACTCCTATATCTACCCTGACACCTGATGGCAACTGGGAGTGCACTACAAACTACAACTAACCACAATTCGCCACGACCAATTCTGCCTGTGTAACGTCGCACTTCACGTACTGCTTCAGCTTCTATATGTGTGTGTGTGTGTGTGTGTGTGTACGCCTCGTTAATGAGCTCCATCACTTGAGAAAAGACTTAATTGGTCAAGATCCAGCCTACGAGTATGTGGCCGACGCTGAAGGGAGTTTAGTCTACTGTATGTCTGTTGATCTAAGTCTTAAGATCTCGTCGAGTGATGTGACACAAAATATGTTTTCACGACCAAACAAAATACCTCTGTTGCAACCCAAGCTAACAGAGGCCACAAAGTATCAATATTGAGATTGATTAGATTGATCTTGTGTTGTTATGATATTGTGGAAAGGTTGTGTCCCGTCTCAACAAACTGTGAGGCAAACCAAACTAAACTCATCTCCCTACTGACTAAACTCAGAAATAAACCGGACGACAAAAAACTGTAACTCCCCCTCGTGAAAAATCGACATCTATCTACCTTTGATGTTGAATCACCGGATCTCATCTTCAACCGTACGTATTTTTTGTCCGGTTAGCCGGTTGTGCTACACCTTCCTTATCACGTTGATGGAGAATTTGTCGAGTATACATCATAAACTCTTATTGACGGCTCAGGTTACATACAAACTTATACATCAACACAACAATATACATATACATGATCACCCTCACCCCATTACACATGTATATAGTGACTGATCTCCCCGCCATTAATAGTGACTATGAGTGAATCCCAGGAGTTGATGAAGGTAGGGGTGACTTAAAACACTTAGTGCACCTAAGTGTAGGTCATTGTTGTTGTGCAGAGACTTCACGAACGTAGACACAATCATCATCATCAGTGAATTTTTTGGGGGTATTATTTAAGAGGATTTGTGGGTCATTATTGTTATTCTGCCAAGCTGCATAACCAGAGGATTTAGGAGATAAGGGTTAAAATAATCTCAAATAACAGATTTGGACAAGAACATTAAATTTCATGACAGTAAAGCATTCAGATAGTAAGTCACTCTAAATCCCCAAGATTCAAAATTTCACTTGAATTGGCGTTCTGGGAGGGAGTTTTCACAAGGGGGGGTGAAGGGTGAAGTAATGTGTACAGCTGTTCAGACTTCTCGTGGTCGACTATGACTGTTCATATGATAAATACCTATATACTGTATACAAACACTACCTACCGGGTATGAAGTTAAGAATTCTGAATGTGATGCCTTACTTCTATACGATGCACATAAGAATAACATTAATAAGTAAAACAGTGAGAAGGACGAATACTTACAGTAATGTCAAGTCTTTTTTTTTTGGCAGACACAATAATGACCAAGAGATCTGATCAATGTGTTTTCAACGAATTTCATTTGTGTCGGTAATAGGAAGTTTAACCCTTGTGTTATGAATTATTTTACGTCAGTTTGAGGAGACTCTTAGAAATAATGATCCGGGTGCGAGTGTAACATTACAACCAAGTGTACAGGAGAGAATTATTATCTACTGTGACAATCAGGATCAAATTATTTGGTTTGTGATGGTGACGGTTTACTGTTCCAGGCGCCAAGGTAAGCGTGACAAGGTGTTCTCTCTCTCTCTCTCTCTCTCTCTCTCTCGTGTGAATTACTCAAACACACACCCTCCATTGCTAAGGCCATGTTGAGTTCAGATTTCATACAATGCCTACATGACTGTGGGTCGTGACAAACACAACACAAGCTGACATGCAAACACAATATGATTATCACTGTTATTGGCGACACAGTTAACAGAGACAACACAGGTGAGACGCAACGAAGGTGAGAGAGACAACATAGGTGAGAGAGAGAACACAGGTGAGACAACACAGGTGGGGCAACATAGGTAGGGGGGTACTCATAGATAAGAGATGAACCACAGATAAGAGAAGTATTCACGGTAAGAAACTGGTGCTCTTGAGTGAGATAAATGTACTAAAGAAGTAAGACAGGTACTCACAGGTGATCTGTAGGGCGGTGGAGGTGGTGGTGGCCTGGCCGGGTATGTTTGGGTTGTGGGCGCGGCAGGTGAGTGTGGCACCGTGGTCACTTGCCTCTGGCACCAGTGTCAGCCACGACGACGTCACCTCCCCTAGCCGCAGCGACTGTGTCAGGAAGGCAAATCAGGGAAGGTTAACTTGGTCATTACCTGCTTGTTTGGTTAGTAAATGGTGGTTATTGTAAAAGGTGGTTGATTAGTGGTAATGTTTGGATAGTAGTGATGGCAGATTTGTAGTGATGATTGGTTGTTATAGTGATGTAGATATATTATATCTGGCATCGTAATAGTTTGAATCATGTGACGTCATATTCACTAAAAGGGATTTGCTACCTAAAATAATGTAACATAAAATTATATATACATATATATATATATATATATTGATGTAGCTATATTCCCAAAACTATATAATAAAATCTGTGTTACATCACTGAAGGAGGTCAGCCTACTCGATAAACTTAAAAAACCATCCTCTGGAAATGAAACACGGAGCGTGAACCGTATTTATCATTCTCTCCCCGATTCCTTCAGGAGAGATGCTGTCGCCTTAAGTTCCCAGACTGGGACACTCGACCAGCATTTTATCAAGGGGACCAGGCAGTCACCGCATACTGGCTGGGGCTGTCGGGCCATGAGGTGACCATGTGTCAGCCAAGACTGACCAATGTAAAGCCAGGCCAGGGCTGTCTCCTACTTCCCTGTCCTTCAGATATACAGCCAGAGGCGCATCTCAGCTGTAACTCATCAGTGTCTGAGAAGTGACTAACTAGGTCCCTGTATGGATCATTTGTATGTTTCCACACATTGATCAGTTACCTGTCCGTAAACGCTGCCACACCTTTTGCTATAATCTATTTGTTTCTAATCATGAATAATCTTGAGAGATACAAGAGTACCAAACGAGTAGGTGTATGGGGGAGGAGGGATCCTTTTTTTGTATACGGATCACTAATACAAGGAACACCACGATTCGTTGAACATACAGCATTAGTTCATTCTACAATATTAGTGTATAATATATTTCTAGTGTATGTTGTACCTTAAATTTATATGAGTATGTTGCATTATTATTGTATATTGTATCATTGGCGTATGATGTATTATTAACTTATAACGTATCATTATAAATTCTGCAACATTAGTGTCTACTGTAACATCAATACATTTTATTTCATTAATGTATACTGTATCACCCTGTATGGTACATCGTTAGTGTAGGTTGTGATTCACAGTTACATTTACATTTTATCAAAACCATTAATACTAAAGTCCGTATATTTATCATTCACGTCCGTGTGTGAATATATCATATACAAATTATGTAATTCAGCTGCGCGTTTGATCACATCGTACATAATATTCAATAAAATGTCAAACAACGAAAACTTTTCATATTATTTACACATGGAGTTGATGAGTCATTCAAGAGATGATTATATACCTAGTGTATTAACTCACAGGAGACAGTAAATATGAGTCACTCTGCCACTCATGTACTACAATAAACAGTATCACAAGGACTCGTAAAAACACGCGAACACATAAATACACCTGGAACTACACACACACACACACACAGTTGAAAGAGAGATCACTCCTACACACATTACTTCACCAAGACACGTTCCTCTGTCATCTTTTGCACGACCCCACGTTTATTGAGCCATGACGCATCACCTGTCACTTCCATATTCCTGCCACTACCACCACTACCATAACTCAGCACTTCTACCATAACCCTCCTGCAATTACAACAACCATTACTACCACACACCTATAACTATCAGAACCATTACCAAAAAGCACTATCACCACTACCACACTCCAGCTACCATCACTATTACCATCACCCAGCCACCACCATTACCTGACTCCTGCCTGCATCAACATGACCACAGTCCACCTACCATCATAACCATCACCCATCATTTGCACCACCAAACACCTGCCACTACCAGCATTATCATACACCATTACCACAATACTTCAGCCACCACCACCAAACTTCTACCACTACCAGCACTATCATACACCATTACCACAATACTCCAACCACCACCACCAAACACCTGCCACACTGGTTCTCTCTCCTCACTCACGTACTTAGCCTCTTAAGACTTACAATAGACTCTTACCTCCGATTTAAAAGCAGTACAAAACTCACTTAAAATCTTGCCTGATATTAAAACGTTATAACAACAAATATGACTCCCAGGCGAGGCTCTCATCTAGTGTCCGAACAACAATATAAGACTGAAACAAGGTGGCTCTTTCCTGGTGTTATAAGAGCAACACAAGACATCTCAAATGTATTGTACCATGGAAACTATGCAGAGTCTGACATTTTACCATAGAGACATTGTGGTTTAGAATTATCCAAGCATTTTATCCTCCAATTTAATGTACTCTTTGCTGAACCACCCTGTATATACTCATGAGGCTTTTGAGGGCTCTTACTTCAGTGATTATTTATAGTCCCAATATAATACCTTCAACCGAGGTGCTATCTTGGCCTTATAACAGCACTATCTTGACCCATATTCTTATAAAAGCACTATCTTGACCCATACTCTTTTAACAGCACTATCTTGACCCATACTCTTTTAACAGCACTATCTTGACCCATACTCTTTTAACAGCACTTAACTGTCAGCAGTGAAAGCTTTACTACTGTTGCCCCTGTAGTGGCTTCATAAATTTTGTCTTTACAAATTTATCGTCCTTTGTGACTTTATGAATTATTTACCTGTCAGTTACCTCATATAATTCATGGTTTTGGGACTACATAAATTTTGTTAGGTTATGAAGAAAAATAATTGAAACGCAGTCTTTAAGTACAAGTACATTAAACTAACAATTACCCCAAAACAAATATAAAAAAATAGCGTGGAATCATAATAAGTGTACAAATATTTACAAGAATCACCACAAACACAATACTGAGTGTGTGTGTTTCCTTGGAGAAGTTTACCCAGCGTGTGTTGTGCAGCTCCCCCCAAGACCTGGCAACTCGCGCTCCCCGGCACACGGTAACGACCCAACACTTCACACAAAACAGTTCGGTCCCTACACTACACTCTTAATTACAAACAGTTTAAATAGATATAACTCCTCAAAATAACCTGCTATACACAAGTCCGCTTTAAACACCAACCAACATGAAATACAAAGATGCCCGAACTAAAACATAAACACAAGTATATATACTACAAGTTACAACTATTTATTCAGTTTATTCATATTTTGTGGCTCATATTGGTTCCATAAATCTTATGGATCTTGGTGGCTACAATTTCTTTTTTGGCATTTTATGGTTCCTAATTAATTTTATATATTTTTTGGCTCTTGAGGGCTTCGGGAGATGTGTGGCTCCTGGAGGTCATCAAAATTTCCGTGTCTTTTAATGGCTCAATAACTTTTGTGGCCCTTAACGGCTTCAAACCTTTTACGACTCTGAGATGACCCCATTAAATTTTTGCCTCACCTTGACTAAAGTACAGATTGTTCGTGAAGTAATCTTAGTATAGCGTTAAAGGAGTTGAGGTGTGAGATACTATAAATAAACGACATGTGAAGGAAAACCATATTTCTGCCCCTCAGGTTTAGAAACGTTTCTTTCCATATTTTTTTTTCTCTCATGAGCTTAAAATAACGTTCTCTTTTGCAATACAGTATTTACTCCCATACTTTTTTCTTTAATGCAGTATTGTACTGAGGTGCTTTTGTAGAGTAGAGAGTAATTACTATTGACCTCAGAATATTTCCTAATATCAAGGGCACATGGCTGCAAAATGGCCTCAAAATACCCTTGAATTTGGTCAGATTAAAAAAAAAAAAATTGATGGGGCTTACAGCTTCCCCCCCCCCCATAAATCCCCCAGCTGGGCGGGAGAATTATTATTTTTTTGTCACGACACTAAAAAGGCGGACAAATCAGCGTCCGCGTCCGGCTAGAGGTTAAACCTGACGGAGGACAGGGAGCTAAAAAACAGGACAGTCCGGCTTAAAGTAGGACTTGTGGCCACCCTGCGGTGGAGGAAGACAAACTCAGTACAACACTTATGTGGGGAAGTTCAATGCCTAGTTATTTGTATAAAGTTTCTCTTCACCATGACATATACCCGTTTGTAACCTAAGGGTTTTAAATGTATTGATGTTTATATACCCTTTGTAGTGTAAGGGTTTACAGAATGGTAACATCCCTTTCCGTCTGCAAGGGTTAATTAGTAATAATATATCCTTGAAAGGGTTTGCTATTAGTGAGGGACATTCAAATTTGTTTATACCCTTATAAATAAATAAATAAATAAATAAATAAATAAATAAATAAATATATATATATATATATATATATATATATATATATATATATATATATATATATATATATATATATATATATATATATATATATATATATATATATATATATCTTTATTTATGTATTTAATAATAAACAAACGTGCATAAGTGTTAAGCGCAGACGAAAGTTCACTTTTCTTATATGCATGTAACAACCACATTGGTTAAATTAAAAAAAATAAAAAACACCAGAGAGCAATGTACGTCTTTGGAAATGTCGATAAGATGGTGGCCAGAGTGGTGTCGATATTACAAGCACTCTTCAGTATTTACACGCTGTTTACTAAGCTGGTTGGTGTTTGTGTGTACAGAGTCCCCGGAGGAAATTACACTTTTAAGACATCGGTATGTACCCCACCCCTTTGGTCCACACAATGTATTCTCCGCCTTGTCAACTGTGACGTAAAATTGCTGAAGGAATTGTAGATAACACATCATGGGGGTCCGAGGTGCGATCATTAGCAAGTAACAGTGGACATGGCGGCGAGCACAGTTGTGTTTAGAAAAAGGCAGGTGGGGTACATACCTATGTTTTAAAGTGTACGTACTGTACCTTCCTGTAGAGACTCCGTGAACTCAAACGTTCTTATAGCTCTGTGTAGGTGGAGGAAAAATTGCCCTTATCTACATTATTATAACTTAATATGACTTGAGCCGTTTAGCTTCGTGATACACATAGTGCGTGACTCACCAACACAAGTCATGTCTACAATTAATATTTAACTGAACTTAGAAATTTGA